ACTTATTCAATAATGGTGGAGCCGGAGGTGAAGCATAGGGTAAGAGGGAAGCAGTAGAAAACATAAACGGAAACGAGAGATTAGTGTTTTATTGTTATATTAAACTCTCTTGTCTTTACTTCTGAGTTCTGACAGCATAGGGTAATATGAATAAGGCTAACTGAATCATCTAATGAAGCATTAAGCAAGTGCTCTACCGCAAAGAATGTAAGAAAATTTTGGCTCAATGACAATAACCATAGTTCCTTTTATCGAGGAAAGTCCAACTGTACCACATAATACATGGTACAGGCATATCATCCGGTGCATTCTCCTACTTAATCTTAGTGTACCTGGCAAACTTAATAGCACACTGATCAATAAACTCAAGACCCAACAATTTCACTTATAAAATGCCTAATGATACAGGAATTATAAAACTAATATACTAATATACATTAAAACACATAGAGAGCCCCTCAACAATAATTGTAACTAAATATTAAATAAAGAAGAGAGGATGGCAGGACTACCTGTAAGCATCCATCTTCACACCCTACTGCCCAGAAATTTGCATTTCCAGCCAAAACGGTGACTTTCCCTGAGACCCTATCAGACCACAGATTTCTAGATCCCTTGGTGCAAGAAATAACTGTTTCTTTCAACATGGATGTGCTTCCAGCCCCAACAATGTCATTTGCAGCATGCTCCTTTGGTCGAGCTTCTAAGCAAATTGGCTCGTTACCCTCCCCTTCTTTCTTATCAAACACTCTAATTGACAGAACAGAACTACAGGTGGCCAATGAATTTGAGGCCTTCAAATTCCCAGAATGATCCATTATGATGTCAGCATCCCTACCTGAAGAGAGTGGAACCTTCTCAATGACTAAACTCTCAGTGATTGTCGCTCGAGCAGTGACCCCTGAACGCTCCTTTAAATCAGTATGTTTGCTAGGCATTCCTCTCACGAAAGTTTCCCTGGCACATTCAGGGGTAGCAACACCATTATTTTCCTTTTTTTGGTCAGATGACATAGAAGGGAAATCAAGCGCATTACTGCTCTGAATCCCACCAGACTTATTTTCCTGCTGAACAGGCACTCCAACTGCTTCTGGAATAATTCTCTTTCTTCCATCAGGCCTTCTATATTCTCTTTGCTTCACAGGACTAGAAATCTTCTGGGAAGCTGACGTTACCTTATTTAAACCATCCCCACCAGCCCCCCCACCCTTCTTTGAATCGTCAACTTGGGCCTCCAAAGTCTTTGTAGCATCCCTCGCATCGACTGAAGATTTTCCATGTGTCTGGTTTGGTTGAGTGTCTGAGACCACTTTCTTACTTGGGGTTTGCCTTAATGAAGCTGCTTCAAGCATCAGCTGAGCAGGAGTTTCAGCTAAATTTACTTGTCGACCTCTAACATCACCATAACGACTTCTCTTTATCTCATCAAGCTCCGCATCAGGTAGCCTCTGTCCAATTTCTTTCACCTCAAAATGGAAAGTTGCTACTGACCCATCCAAGGAACACGCAAAAAGTGAATATCCATCAGGACTCCTGCTCCAATAGGAAATTTCAAAAACTATGGGTAGAAACAAATGAAGGTGTTGTAGATGAAGACTTATACAGGATGTTCAAATCAATAACATGATATAGGTATATTTTAAGAGACATACCAAGATAAATCAACAACACTTTGAGTAAAGAAATGTTTGGCAACAAAAAGAGGGCGAGGACTTGCTGTCGTCCATACAGTTATGGTGCGATCCTGACTCCCAATCGCAATCACATTATATGATGGGGATTCCTTGCCTCCAATCTTTGAAGCTCCGTTTGTCCAACCAACAGGTACAGCCTTCATCTCATTAGCATTAGTTAAATTCCTCCTAAACATAGAATGATTGAATTTCACAACAATAACAGGAGCATTGTGTCCTAAGAAATCGAATGTGGCAGACCATTCCCCTCTCTCCAAAACAGGTGCAGAATGTCTGGGCTTCTGAAAACCATGAGTGGTAGTGATGAAATGTCCACAAGGAGACCAGCCTAAACGCCGGAAAAATGTAGATCCAAGCTGAAAAATAGAAAACACAAGAACATAAATATAGCCTGAAATTATAAGTAATTTTCCATCCATAAAATGAAGTAAACATACAGATTTTGTCCAATGGCCATCAGTTCGGTGAGCAAGGCTCCAATCACTCGTTCGCCATATAATAACTGTCTTGTCATCTGATTGGCTGGCTATGAAAGAGCCTATGGGATCCCAGGCAACTCCTTTGACCAGGCTAGAGTGGCCCCTTAAAACAGCTGTACATATGCCATTGCTCATATTCCATATGTGAACTGTGTTATCTAAACTCCCACTTGCTAATATCGAGTCATCTGGAGACCAGTTAAGATCCACCTACTTCATGCATTTAAATATAACTCCCAGGTTAGATGCAATCAATGGGGCCATCAGTAACGCACTTATCAGGATGGATTAAATATGTCAATGAGTCAGCAAACTGGAAATTATAACCGACCCACAACTACAAACAGTTTATGAAAAACAGACATCGCCATGCTCCCAAATTGATACTTATTTTTTTCAAAAAATTTAAACTCGATCAAATGCAATAAATCCCGCATGAACAAATCAGATCATCGAATAAGTTTTAAGATATGAATGACTAATATGCTATCCAATAAATTCCATAATCAAAAGCTAAATCATTACCACATCAGCTGTGTGCCCTCTCAAAGTCATAGCAACCTTCCAATTTTCAACATCCGGGGGCTCCCCACTTCCAAATTCAGTGGTCCCTGAACCAGGTTTCTTTTCATGTACAAGAATTGTTTGATCATCAGACCCTGATGCCACAAAACGCCCATGCTTAGCCCATCTAACACAATTAACTGACCCAAAGTGATCACGAAGAGTTGCAAGAAGCCTCTGATTTGAAGCATCATCTTCTAAGTTCCTACCAACAGATTTCACATTCCATATCCGAACCTACAGAAGTACAGTATGTAACTAGGATGTAAGTGATTTAGTGGCTTACTGAATTGAATTTAATTATAATCACAGCAATCACATATCACAACCAACACCACATCAAAAAATTATACTTGCCAACCATGCTTCAACAAAACTGCATTAGTAATACAACACAATTTGAGACGCATGCATGTGTATATGGAAACTCTCATGAGAGCTGTTAAGAAGCACTCTCCGACAGTTAAACTCAATCCTGTGACAATCAGAATCAGAGTTCAAAACAATAGTGGAGATGGGTTTACATTGTTTAGAAGGTATTAATAGTAGGTGACATGCAGAGGAGGTGCTATGAAGTCAATGGCAAGTCATGGGGATGCCACTCATCTAGAGCTGAGATACATAACGAGAAAGCCAGGGCCTCAGACCACAACTAGTCAGATGAAGTAACAAACTTTGATGTTGAGGAGAAGGGGAAACAGGCTGACCTCTGTTTTTTAAGCGTTAACGGGAGCAGTAAGACACGAAATTTTCAATTCAAATTCACTCCACTATTCAAAGACACGAAACATGCACTACAGAGTCAACTCGATCGTCTTCAACAAGCATTATAGTTTTCTCCGGATTATCTAAGAGAACAAGAGAAAAGCAAAACAAAATTTAAGAAATTCGCACAAGTTTATACGGTCTAGACCACTCTCATCAACTATAAAGTAAAAGGATAATGATGGTGTGCCATAGCTCCAGCGCTAATTGGAAAAAGTATACATTTTTCTCAGTACCAGTTATAAATAACAATAGAAGTCCTTCCATATTAGCCAGGTTCTTATTCGCCACCAACAAGAGTAAAAAATGATAAAAAGGAAAATTTTACCTTGTGATCACCTCCTCCAGTGGCGAATCTCAGTCCACCAGGTTGGACATCAATCGAGAAAATTTGCATGCCTTCATGCCTAACCCAACTAGGTTTTTCTGCAATCATCTCTACGTCGGAACCCAGCTACAACCCCTCCCCCTCAGGCTGTTTGTAGCCAATTCATTGTTTTCCAACAAAATAAAACAACTCAGCACTGATCTAGAAAACAAAATTGCGTAAAACAGAGCCCTAGAGAAACCCAAATTTCAAAACACAATAATAAGTGGAAATTTGACCGAGTGTCAAAAAAAGACAAACGTTGAAACCGTCCAGCTAGAAACAAAACTCTCAGCCTAGAACCCTAGAATGAAGGACCAGAAGAGCCCTGGCCCTAAACCCTAGGTTCGATAAAACCCAGTAAAATAAGAAACAGAAAAACGGGCGGTCGAGCCTAGAGTAGCCGGAACTTGTAAAACCTCCGCAAAGAAGAATGGAAGCAGCTGAGAAGTGCAGGAGGTGAAGAGGAGAAGTGGGCGGGAGAGAGAATCAGAAATTGAAAAAGACAGCGGGGGGCGGCCATGAAAGAAGCATCGGAATTGCAGAGGGATTCCTCGTCTTCAAATTCAATCGTCAATACAATGCAATGAGATGAAAATCAAAGAACAGAAGAAGAAATAGCTTTGTTCAGTCTCTGTTGTTCGCTGCAAATTCTCCAAGCGCTTTGTTTGTTTCTTTCTACTCCCTTTTGCTAATAGAAGGGGAAGCACAATCCGTGCCGATAAATCGAATCCTTTCTTTTTAGGCAGTATAGGTTTTGTTTTGCTATCTATGATGAAATCGTGCCCTTCTCTCTCTTTTTTTTCTTTTGTTGATTTCTTATTTTGGTACTTTTCAATTACCATTTTGCAAGTTGCATAATAATAATATGTGGGATCCAATTTGTAAGCGGGAAAATAATTCTTAATGGTCAACAGCTGTTAAAGTTGTAATTTAATTTTTACTGCTTCATTTTGGAAATATAATTTTATTTAGTTTTTCTTTTGTATAAGAATAATTCCATTTAGTTATCAACAATTTTCATCACTTACGGATATTGAAATTGTAGTAATCGAGTGATATAAGCATTAAACAGGAGGCCAAATTAGTTCATGATAAATATGAGAAGGTAGTTCTTTCCATGTAACCCATGATGGTATTTATAATTAATAAAGTTTTGTTTCTTTCAAAAAGTATATATATGAGAAGGTAGTTGTATATAAGCTAATAATATCTTTAGCATCTTCCAAAGAAAAAAGAGAGATATTTCGCATTTTTATAAGCTAATTAATTTTGTTTTGTTATGTGGATTTTATACACATATTCAACATTTGATTTTTATTTTTAAAATTTGGTTAAGAATTCAAGTATATTTCCAGGGGAGGTAAAAAAATTGGGGAAATTTGAAATTTTGATCCCTCTCATAATTCACTTTGGATTTATGACCTCATTTTGAAAAAATCTAATCTATGACCCCATTCCTCCTTATTTATTAATAATTTCATAATTTTTAAATGTAAAATTACCGTAGTACCCTCACGTTTCAAAATCAACATCTCCCTCCACAAATCTCTTTACAAATCTTTATTCCCTCCACAAATTTCTCACAATAATTAATTCCGACCTTAAAAAATCTAACTTCTAAAAAAAATATCTAACTCAAATAGTAAATTAAAAGTTTAATATGGAAAAAAATAAAAAAAACGTACATAATTGCATAATTTGGACAAATTTAATTACAAAAAAAGTTATGATTACAAAAAATTTGGGACAATATTGCATTAAATGCTCAAGATTTAATTGATACCAATAGGGCCAAGAGGAGAGGAGAGAAAAAGAGTGAAAATCCCGAACCAGGTTACTATTCGGTCCGGGATTCTGCCATCCCGGTCCGGGATGGTTCAATCCCGGACCGGGATCCTTCTAACCCGGACCGGGATCCTCCTATCCCGGTCCGGGATCCCAAATTCCAGATTTTTTTTTTTTGCGTTATCTCCCTCTTAATTCCAGTTTTTTGCATTTACAGGATATTTTGGTAATTTTACAAAGACAAAAAGTAGAAAGGGATCACAAATTAGAACAATAGGGATAAGGGGTCAAAAATCCAGATGAGTTATATAATGGGACTAGAAACCCCAATTTACCTAAAAAATTGCTAATGAAAGTGTAAAAAACAAGCATGATTAAAAATACAAAATTTAAAAACTAAAAATGAAACAATTATTCCAACGCGGCTTAGGTAATTCTAATCATCTGTCATTAAACATTTAGAAAGTTATGTCTTTTATGTATAATTTAAACAAGTAATTTAAAAAATGTTGTTGGGTTATTAATTCAATATTATATTTGAATATAATAGATTGTTGCATTGAATATATTAAAATTATCACCAAAAGCAAGTACGCCTGGTTAAGATATCTTGCTAATTTATTTTTTATATAGATATTAAATTTATCACATTAGGAACAATATTTATTTCTGTCAAAAAATTAATGATTAGAAATGTAAATATATACTAATTATAAGAATAATTACAAAACAATGACTAAAAAATCCATTTTAATATTTGTATTTACGTTTTTAAAAAAACTTGATGAAAAACGTTTGTAAAAAAGCTCTGATTTTGTTACCACCAACCAAAAATACGTTTGTAAAAAAACACCCAAATGTTTGGTAGTTAACAAATACACTAAACATCTACGAATTCAAGAGGGCATCGAAATACAATCTAAGAATAAGGTGCTTAAACATCTAGTTCATAATAAAATTATTACAATATAAACTTCAGATAATTGTAAGAACATTGGATTTGTAAAAGAGGTAACAATCAATTCTACGGTGAAGAAAGGATTACTCAGTTCAAAAATCCAAGAACCTAGCCTCTACCTTTTCGATACAGCCCTTTAAACTAATACAATATAAACACCAAGTAGAATTTAACAATAAAATCCAGAAAGTCAAATTTATTATTAAAAGAACATCGAAAAGGAAATGACATGTTTTGACAACATTTGGAACACAGATCTTGCAGGCAAACTATATTTGACACGTTAAAATATTTTTCAAGGAATATATATGAGCTCGAATTAACATAATTTAAAACAAAACAATACGGGGAACACAAAATGAAACAAAAAGGTGAAAAGAAAAGCATTACTCCCAACACAAGTGTTATCGATTTTGCAGCTAATGGTTTACTGTGCTAAACAAAAAACAAACAGGAAAAAAATTTTCAATCATAAATATAATCTCAACCTGGTTCTTCAATCAAAGAGAAAACAGTACTATCTAAGTTTTTGAAAATTCTTCAGAAGACCCGATATGCCTTCCCCATAGTACTCTTCAGGTACAAGCACCTCACCTGATGAACAAAACATTGTTAGACAAAAGGACAGGAATTCGTGTGTAGAGAGCTCTAAATCATGTTGATATGTTCACAAAATCAAACTAGAATGATGATATTGTATTATCATCGTGAAATAAGGGAGGCGAGGCTCAAGAGTGCTCAGTGTATAAGTCAAAAACAGATAATTAAACGATGCGGTGGAAGAGTGAGGGCAACGACTTACGTTTTGCCAGTTCTTTTTCAATAATGAAACAAGGAAATTGACGCTCATTTGAACATTTTGAAAGACTTGCTTCTCCTCCATGGCAACATTACCCACAGCCACGCCCATGCAAAGAACTTTCTTCAATTGGAACTTAACCATTGCCTTTGTCTCATTAACTTTAGACTCAAGGGATTCTTGGTGAGTAACAAGGGTGGGAAACTTTCCTGTAATGACAATGTAGATGTCAATGTTGGTAGGAAATGTAAATACAAAACTCTCTAGTGATTATACACAACAAAGCAGATTCATCAAAAGAAAAGTTTGGACTTTTAAATATACAAGCACGCAGACCATGCTGAGCCTAAAAAAAAAGTGGAATATAAAGTGCCAAGTTTCAAATATCATTTGCTTGCATCACCACAACAAAAGATCAAGGTTAAATTCACTATGTCTAGTAGTCAGAAGCACACTTGCCTGCCTTGTTGAGCCCAGGGCCAAGAAGACGGGGAATTTGCTTGATAACAGCTTCAGAAGCTAAGAAGGCATGATACTTCTTGGCAAGTTTCTTCACCAACTTCTTGTTTTTGTTTAGCTTCTTTAGGCCTTCCACATCCATATAATCCAAACCAATCTTCTCTGCCTATAATAAGAGAGCACCCACAAATATTAAGTAGAAGGCTAGAGCTGAAGAGCAACGGTCTATAATTTCAATTTTCCATGTGTGAAATCCCCAAGAAGTCCATTATTTTCAAAAAAAAAATTAAGTACAATGTCACTGACAGTACGCATTGAGGATTCGGCATCATGCCTATTAAACATAAATAGAAAAGAGTACCAACATGATATGGTCGTATAGACATTATTACTATTTAAAATTTTCAAGTATATATTTAAACCCAGTATTGCGAGTAGACTGCAACACAAACTACAGCAAGCCACATGCAACAAAATCATAGAATAAAGTTTGCCAAGCTTTTCGCCACACTATGCAACCCAAGATATACTAGGAAAAAATGGAAAATAGTTACTGCCTACTGGACATGATAAGTGAAGAAGTTATGACCATATAAAATTTACCTCCTCAACGTGCAAAGCATCTCCAAGCATGCATATCTTCATCTTAGGGCGAGGAATGTGGGGCAACTTCACTGACCCACTGAAACGCTTGTCCTTCTGTGGATCATAGTTCTTTAGTCCAATCTGAAGTTCAATGGTCTCAGTAAACTTACGCTTCTTTTCATTGCTATCAACAAAGATAGCTGAAATGGCTTCTCTCAATGCATCACTCTGAAGTTTACTGCAGATATCAACCAACGAAACTACAATCATTAAATGCCGAGAAACCCCATAAGGCGAACACTACCAGGAATCAGAAGTTCCAATAAACGATATCTTAATACAGTATAAACGCACAAAAATGCATTATAACTCCAGTGTCAGTAGTCACATGAACTCAAACAACTACGGCCCCAAGTAAAATCCGATGTTGGAACTTCATATTTCCGAATCTACCTCGATTAAATAAAACGAACAAAAATTTATGAACCCGGCATATAATCCAATTCGTGTTCTACAAGTAGACTCTAAAAATTAAATAAAAATACATGGGAAAACAGTCCAACATACCTCATTTTCGGAGCCTCGTTTTTCCTATGGAGAAGCTACAGACTGCTGAGAAGAACACAACAAGAACAAACCGAATCAAAATTAGTTGCAAACGAACGAGCTAGTTGTGCCAAATCAAATGCACCAGTCAAAGAAAAACAAGAGAAACAAGAACAGAATATCAGATTAAGGAAGAACAAACAACACGATACAAAAAAGGCAAATCTCAGTTTGAAAGAGCGTGGTGGTGTACCTGGTGAGAAGAAGCGAAGCTAGGGTTTCCGACGGCAGTGATTATCGATATATAATGGAAGACCGAAGAGAGGCGATCCAAAAGGGGAGGGGCAAGTGATAAACCTAGGATATGTGTGGTCTGTAATTTGGACGCACAGAGCTATGGGCCGAAGCTTTTGAGATTCGGCCCGTTAGCTATCGGCCCAATATATTGTCCAATGGGCCTTAAGCTGGAGCCTTGATGCGCTCTTTTTGTCCTCAATTTTGTTGACGGACGACGGTCAGTCTTTCAAAAACGACATGTTCCATATTGTCGAATAAAACAGAAAAATTTTCAAGTATGTCCGATTTTCAATTTGCTTTATTAATTTTTTTAATGCTCAATTTATTTTGATTGTATTTAAATTTACAATTAAATTCAGAGTTTTTTAACAATAAGCTAATGTATCAAATCACTTTTTCAAAAAAAAAAAATTCATTCTTTTACTAGCATATTTAAACAGATTGATGTAGCACTTATACATGAAACTCAAACTACCGTTTAAAAAGGAAAAAAATTCAACCTACTCATCAACAAATTTAAGCGGCTCATGAACAAAATTAATTTCTTCCACGTGGCCTGCACACTTGTTTAAATATGTTAATAGAACAATAATTTAATAACACATCAACATTCCATGACAAATTTTAATGGCTTTGTTTATTAAAGTACTTAAAAAACAAAAACTTTCAATACATTTAAGAGCATAATTAAAAAGTTTAAGAAACTTAATCACCAATGTGAGAATTATTTAAAAGATTGTGGACCATATTTTTATATATTTTCGTTAATCATAAAAATCAGGCTTAAACATGTGTACCTTCTCATTATGGGTTATAGATTAAAATCATACTCCAGATTCAGGTCTTAGTATTATAATAAAATAAAAAATCAAAATGTTCAAGTTTGAATAAATGTGTCCACGAGGGGAAACAATTAAGCCTCCTTGTAAAAGGTGTATTACAATTTTAATTTCCTTTTGAGTACAATAAAATGTGGGACCAGGAGTCTGAATACACCACAAAGTCAGAAATACATACCAAACAAGGTTAATTAGACTCATGTTGACAATGAACCACCTTTAATTTTCAAGAGTATAGATGTTTAATTTAGGTTTATAATCAACTTGACTCTATGAAGTCGACTATTACAAACGTCAAAATTTGGATAATACAGGTTTGAATTTTGAAAAATAAATAAGTTTATTCATCTAAGTTTGTGTAAAGGGTGCTTGGTTTTATAAGTTTATAATTAAATGTCTAATTTTTATATAATTAAAAAAAGGAAATTAAAAACAAATTTTCTTCACATCAAATACATCAAATGCACGTTGTTCATCACATGTAGATGTATTAATACACAATTTTACTCTCAATAAATCATATTATATCTAGATATTAGAATTCGAAGTCACAGCCTCGAAAATAGATACTTAAACCAAGATAATGAGGAGCAGTAGAATTTTATTTGTAGAATAAGTGAATCACATTACAAATAAAAAGATCTACAGAAGGAGATCGAGAAATAATTGCAACCTCCAATAATTTAAAAAGGAAATAAAATTATAAATCCCCAACATAATAATTATTCCTCTTATCATTTTACAAGAAGCCCAGGTATGGTGACGTTTGTGTCTCTCTGTAACACTAATTAATGAACCCAAGGTAATTAAAAGTAATATAACACAATCAAATCTTCACTAACACCTACTCTCTACCCTCAACGCCGGCCGGGAATTGGCTGCCCGCCGTCCCTCCGCCGCAAGCGACGCCCTCGCCGTCGCAATTCTCTTGGCGGCCAAGATTCTGTCGAACGCGGAGTAGTCGATCCAGTCCTTAAGCAGCTCCTCCTTGCCCCATTTCTCCGGCACGGTGACTTTCCCCGCCACCTCCTCGCGGTGCCGCTTTAGCCGCTCGCGGACACCGCAAGAACTCTTCGATGGCTGCAGCAACTTCTCAACTCCGCTGCCGTCGTGCGACTCGGGAGCAGCCGCGGAGGCGGGGTTAATAGGCAGAATCATGGCGTTTTGGGTGATGGGTTGTTGTTCAAATTTGCACAATATAGAGGAGAGGAAAATTGAATTAAATAGAAGGGAGGGTTTGGTGTATGAATGGTGAGGGGATTGTCTACGTTGGGAGATGGGTTTTGGGGTAAAGTTTTATGTGGTGATTTTGATGCGTTTTGGGGGATAAAAAGTTTGTGAGGTGGACATTGGTTTTGTGTACAAATTACAAAAGAAAGAGGAGAAAATTGAATTTGAAAGGGAAAAAAAGGTGTGATTTTTAGGCGATTTTGGGTGGCGGTGGGCTGGTTTTGGTTTTGGTTTTGGTTTTGGAGTTGTGATGTGGAGCCATGAGGAGAAGAGAATTGATTTGGAGTGGGGCTTAGGGGATGTGGACACGAGCCATTTGCGTCTTAGATATTTTTTTTCTTTCTGACCACACATTTTCACATCTGTCGTGTCTTATATTTGTCGGGTGTACGTGGCCGCCACCCGATGTATAGTTGAATTGGTTAAAATATTGGTAATTTTTCAATGAACCTTTTGTTTGATGGGAATCTATTAACTCAATTTTGTAGAACAATAAAATAAAGTTTTTTCTAATTTATATTTTCTGTTTTCTTCCACCACATAAATGAAAACATTATTCTATGTGTGGGTCAGTGGTAAGATAGGCAAATAAAGTCTTCACATTGAGTATAATTCTCATAAATAAAATATGGCTTCTTACAAAATATAATTATGTAAGTAGAGTAATATTTTTTAATAAAATAAAATAGTGGGATTATACTATTTCTTTTAATTGAATGTGTGAATACAAGTATTTGACTTTTTAAATAATTCTAAAAATAAATAATTCAAACAATTTGAACTTTGAAGCAAATCAACTAAGAAATTACATGGTCCACATTTATATTCATTTGGATCGGCAAGTTCATGACTCGAACATTTGAGTTTTGCTTCTAAAAAAAAAGAAAAAAGAAAAAAGAAGAAAGAAAAAAAAGTGTGTTGTATGAACATCCCAGCCCAATGCATGAACTCTGGTATTCTCAAGCCCACAAGAAAATAAAAGGGCAATTAACCAAAATAAAATGGTTGTGAAGGTTTTAAATTTGAAATCGTATATCCATTTTTTCTTTTTGATTTCAAATCGTGAATCCAATATTGTTTCAAAAAAAAAAAAAAATCGTGAATCCAATTTGATGTTGAAGAAGAAGGTATAAATTTATATTTATGATTTTGTACCATATCTTCATATAAATTATTATTACACTAAATATTATCTCTTTTAAAAATTATTATAATAAATTATCGAAAAAAGGTTCAAACTTAAAATGACAAATGAAATATCTAACATTAATTTATCTAACTCTGGTTTTTTTTTTTAAACTTAAGCATAGGCATAGTTGAACACATTAATAATATTTTTTAAAGGTTTAATTATGCTGGAAATGTCAAAAGTAGGAGGTGTTTTACAAATAAATTATTCTTTCAAGTAAAAGAAAATAATTGATTTAGAAGTCAGACGGGTGTTTAAATACATTTTAAATTAATATATGAAATTTATTTTTGTTTAACGTTATAAAACGTTTTATTATTAATAATGTTCTTAGTTAATTTTAACGTCATACAGTAATTTTGTAAATTATTTTTTTCTTTTTATCTTTCCTCTATTATTATATACTTCTAATGGATTACTTGTGAAGTGATTTTTGGAAAAAAGTTTGTTCAACATTGTTTTCATTGGTTTTGTAATGAAAATATTATGAGCTCTAATTTTTTATTTCATCCGTCTCCGACGAGTGTACGTTTGAGGTCGAAGTTGTGTTAAGATTGGAAAACAACTAACAACATACGATGTAGTAGCAAAGTGGTGTCAAAATTGCTTTCAAGGTAGTGTCCTATCCACGACACAACTAACCATTTTTCATCTAAATTGTTCATTATATTTCCTACAAATTCTACACTCTCGTTGGACTTAAACAAATCTCTTTAATTAGTGCATTGATTGGCTTTCAATTTTTACTTGGAATTAATTGCTCTATTTATTGTTGAAATTAATAGAATCTAATTGCTTCTACGTTGACATATAGTATATTTAAACTTAAATTAATATTAATTATTACTGTGCTAATTATTGATTTTAATGCCAAAAAAAATTTTAAGTACAACGTGTGGGAGTGAGATTTGAATTTACGATATTTTGTCGGAGATATATATTTTATGCAACTGAACTATTTGCTAAGACTCCATTTTATTAGATATTATTTGAATTCACAACCATAGAAAATGTGACAAAGATTGACAAGCAAGGAGAGGGAAAGCAGCACCGATATTGGTCGCTGGAGGAGGAGAAAAAGGAATGAAGAAGAAGATGGTGTCCAATCGCAAAAAAACTATATGAAATATAAATTTACAATTTTCCAAGAAGCAAGCATAATCAACCAATGACTGTCACGTCATTCTTTCGGTTAATTAACTAACGATCAAATGAGCTCATAAATTATTTACGACAATTTTTTCCAAACTTCAGGGAGTAAAAGTATTGGCTTAAAATTTAAGAGGCCGTTTGTTTTTCGGGAATGTAGATGTCCGACATCTACCGATGCCTGGAATTTCAGATGCCCGGAACTTTAGATGTCCGGCATCTTCAGATAGCCATGTTTGTTTTGTAGAAAAATTTATTAAGGATGTTCGGGAATATTTGGATAGTCACGTCTGATATTAAATTTATAGAATGTTCCGAAAATGCCCTCACGAATATTCATATAATTTATAAATTTATTTAATATAATTAATTTATTTTAATTAATTTAATATTTTGTTTTGTAGAACAAATTAATTCCTATTAATTCAATATATATTTCATTTTCAACTTTAGTATTTTTTCCAAAAAGACAATCATATAATTGGTATTATCTTGGGTAAAATTTATTTATCTTACCATCATATTATATTTTTTTAAGAGGAAATATATCACAGATATATTGGTCGTCAAAAAAATTGTTGCTTTAAAATTATATATTTATGATAATAAATATTATTAATAATATAATTCCTTCAAAATATTAAAAATAAATCGAGATATTATATAATTTAATTGCAGTTTATTTTATAGGTAAATGTAATGTATAAATATACTTAATTGCTTATTAAACAACGGGTCCATTAATTTATTTAGATTATAAATTTAAAAGTAAAATAAAAAATATTTTGGAGAAAAATAAAGAAAATTGATGAAAGAAAATATATTGAAGAAAAATGAAGTGCAAAAATGTAAAAAGCGGATGTCCACGAGAATCTACGTTTCAAAAGGCATTGCGTTAGATGCCTCCCCTACAGGCATTTTAAGATATCAGGGCACCACAAATGTGAGAACCCAGATGTCCGCCCAATGAAAATCTTAAATTTCCACGAAAGAAACGGTGCCTAGAGACAAAATAGACACCAAACTTAAATCTTAGGGACCAAAAAGTATTTTGCAAAAAGTAAGGATACTAAAAAATATATATAATTTTCAAAGCGACCTTCTTTTTTTTCTTTCTTTTTGAGTTCAGCCACGATGGATATTTGGACTACTTCAAAATTTTAATCGAAGGTACGTGTCTATTAGACCCTTATTATTTAGACTTTATCTCCCGTAACTATAGGGATATATATAACAAAAAAGTCTTAATAATGATAAAGGAAATATTCATATAATATAAAGTTTGAAAATAACCCAAAAATATTTTAAACCTTATTTTAAAATATATATGTGCATAAATAATTACGTAATCCATAAACACATTTATTTTTTGACCCATACTCATTTTTTATGTCAATCATTGGTATTGTCAATGAATATTATAATTTAGACTTATATTGCCTACAACAATAGTAGATACACRCATCCTAAAATATTCACATATATTAGTCTATTTATGATTAAAGATTTGTGGTCCATTTCATGTAACTCTTGTTTCTATGCCTATATATCATATCATCTTTCATATTTAAAACACTTTTTGTGGTCCATAACTCATATGTTCTCTGTAAAACACTTTTAAAATTTTATGCTTGAATTTAACTTGATATATCAAGATTCTTGTATAATTATTAAAGAGAAAACAACATTTTCAACTATTTATCGAATAAAAAAAAAAGTTAAAACACGTGTTTCTACTGTTGTTCTTTTCTGTAAAAGAACCCATGATGTCTTTTTTAAGAGTAACTTTCTAAGTGGTGCATTCATTTTTCTAAAATATTTTTATATAAAATATGCATATAAATTAGAAGAGTATAAGAGAAGTTGGTAATTTAGATTCTGTTTATTCTTTTCGGATYAATTCACTAAATCAAATGRATTGAGTGAATACSTTTTTGGAGGGTTCAGAAAACAAAATTTTATCTTTTTTAGTAATTTCATATCTCGAATTTTGAATTTTAAATTTTAAGATGTAAAATTATATTAAAAAAAGATAAAACTTTGATAAATATATTATTTMAGTTAAAATTAGAACATGTAAATATAATATTTTATAAATTATATAATATTGTAAAATGAAAATTATACAAGTTTCATGACAATGTCGATAAATTAATTAACATTATTTTAGATTAAACTAAATTTTTAGTTGGTAAATACTACTAGTTTAACCTATATTGCTCAACATGCATTGAATAATTTTTCAAGTTGAGATTCAATTACGGAATCTACTACTAAACATATCTCTGAAAATACCGAAAACGAATAATAAAACTTTGTATTTCATTGAATCCCKGACAACTAAATGCACACTTACACATGACAGTAGAGACGTTTTAGGCACAATGAGAGACCTGATTTTTCTATAAATAGAAATTGAATCTAATTTTTCTAATAATACAAATCAATATCACGAGAGAGTGATTAAATCTTAAGTGGTGTTCAAATATTTATACATGATTAAATTTATCCAAACACGTCGATTTAAGTTTTTGAATTTATTGGTGGTTTAACATGTTTAAGATGGTAAAATCTTGGATTCGAATCCTACCCACGCATGAGAGAAATTAAATTTACCCTATGAGAAGAACATGCAATCTTATTTCAATAGCTAAAATAAAAGTTTTGCTCTATGCATTATTGACAACTTCGTCCAAGGTAAAACTTTACTGATCAATGGACCTTAATTAAATTTTTTTTTTAACAAAAACATTTTCCCACTCACACCTCTAATGGCAACACTCTGTCTAAAGCAAACTCAATCCAATTAGAGAGGTTAAAAGCATCCATGTAGAGGAACAGCCACTTTGTTGGAGCCTTTTTCCTTTTATTATATACCCTTTTGATCGTTCAAACAAAATGTTGTCTCACCCTCAATATTCCAATGTCTATCCATTCCTTTATTTATTATGTACTTGCTCCTTGTTGGAAAAAGTCCCACAAAATGACCAATTCAACCCCAAAGCTCCCATTTTTACTCTGTTTTTTAGCATTTTATCCACTTTCCCTTTATATATTAACATCTTTTTTCAAACCCCACATGGCAGAGAGAGAGAGAGAGAGCGACAAGATTTTCCACATCCCTGAATTCAAGTTCCTCAAACTCTGAGATTATGTATTCAATTTCAATCCTCAAAGTTCATTATAAAAGTCATAAAACTCGAGAGAAAGCACCACCAATAACCCTGGTTTTCTTCGTAGAGAAGCACGCACCAAAGAGAGGTTTTTTTTTTCCCTTTTCCTTTTCCAATTTTTCTTAATGTAAATTTGGCACATGGCCACATTTAAATCAGAGTAAGAATCACAGCCCTTTCGCATAAAAAGTTCATCCTCCAGCCCTCTCTTCCTCTGTTTTTGCTGTCTTCTCTTGGCTCTGTAGAAGACTTGTTAGAGTTGCAATAGAAGCAGAGGTAAAAGACTGAATTTTTTACAAGTTTTCTCTAATGGGTTCTTAAGTTTCTGCTCAATTTTTTGAAGTGAGTTTTGTTTATTTGTAGAAGGCAATGATTTGAAGGAAGATTTGTGCATGGCGAGCCACAGAGTTGAAGAAACTGAACCTTCCAGCCACCATCTTCCATATAATCTTTACGGAATCCACAACAACAATCCTCCCTCCACTTTGATGTAATTTCCAAACTTTTCTTCATCAATTCCATCCTTTTGAGTCTAATTCATGTTAGATTAAAAAAAAAAAGTTCGAAACTTTGAAGTTTTTCCTCTGAAAATGCTTAAAGATTGCTCACTTGTTCAGCAACCAAGATGGCCCAGCTTTTGATTTTGGAGAATTGGAACAAGCAATTGTGGTACAAGGACAAGGTATGTTCTGTGTGTGTSTCTCTCTCTCTATGACGTTTGATAAGAATAAGAATATAACCAACAGGAGGGAGAGAGAGAGAGAAAGGGGTTTTGGTTTTGGTTTTGGGGGTTGCCATTTTCATAATGATAATAAGTTGGAAGAAGAGAGTTGAATGGCATGAGGGTACAAACTTGGAAACTCAAAATCTGCAACTTTGATTTACTGACTTCTCCATAACTATACGCTGCAGAATCCCCAAAAAAAAAAGAGAGAGAGGATTCAGGATTGAGGAGTAGGTTTCTTATATAGAATTCTACTTTAAAGGCATTGAAAAGAAAAATCCTCCAGATTTTTCAAAACTGGGGATCCTCTGAGATTTGCTTTTATGATTCTGTGCAGCCTTTTCCTCAGGCAGGCCTGCAATGACTCTGGAAATGTTCCCTTCTTGGCCAATCAAATTCCAACAAACTCTCACAGTAAATTGTTTTTTTCTTCCCCACAAGCACTAGCAGTGGCCATTAGTTTAATTAATTTTACTGTCGGTTTTTAATTGTGGGGGGTTAAAAAATGGAACAGGGGATTAGTTTGAGGTGGGGAGAAGGAGGAGGAGAAGAGAGGAGTGATGAGTCAGGATCTGGTGTGGACGCTCATACAATTCCGATGAGTAAAAAGGCATCATCTTCTTCTTCTTCTTCTTCATCAGGTCGTCATCATGATCAGAGCTCTTTTCAGAAGAATCTGCAGCTTCAAACTCAGATCACGCAGCTCACTGATGGACTATCACCACACCATCATCACTCCCCTCAACAAAAGGTTTATTAAATTCTCTCTAATTACGTGTTAAATCGTTAATCAATCTAAAAACTTAAATGGGTGGATTACGGTAAATTTTCTACATACTCTACTCTAGTACCATATTGAATTCAAAAAATTTAAGTTGATGGATTAAGATTAGGGTAAGTTTAATCTTGTATATATATCTTTTGCATAGCTTTTGAATTTAATTGTGATTTTAGCAGACGAGTTACTAAAAGATTCAACKGATTGAGAACAATAAAAAGATTGTTCAAGCCAATGTTTTATCATAATTATATATAAATGTCAGCTGCATTATTCTACCTCATGCTAATTTAAAAAATATAGTTATTAAAGAGGGTCATATTTTATACACRGTGATGATCAAATATTGCTTTCGAAGTCATTAAMAAAATTAATAACTCATTATTTAAAAGAAAAAATTATATTTTTATATTTCCCTCTTAATTGTTAAATTTAACCAACGTGGTACGCACCAGTAAAAAAAGCCAAATATTTTCTAATATCTATATTCAGTCTCTAAAAACTTTGCCTTTCTTTGATTTTCTGAGAGTTACTGGGATCTGTGCCGTTGGAGTGATGAAGAACCAGATGAGGTGGCAAAATATAGATATATATATATATATATATAATATTTATTTATTTTTATTTATTTATTATTATTATTTTTTTTGGTTTTTGTGTTGGAATGTCTGACATGAAGAGATAGAAGGAGAGGTGAAACTGCAACTCCATGAAAAGGCGATGAACGGAATCTTCACAGTAGTTTTCTTTTTTTGTCCACTGTTTCTGCTTATAAATTCACCAACTTTTACTTTACTTGAAGATCCTAATTAAATTACCCTTTTATTTTTTTTTCCCTTTCGTTGTCGGTTTTTCAGAACAGAAACTAATTAAATACAAATCCAAAGTCTAAAAAAAACAATTATCAGATAATGATGTTTTCTCGCTAAATACATTTCATTTGTTGACATGTTTGGTTGTTGTTGTTGTTTTTTTTTTTTAAATTCATTTAATTATTTCTAGAGATTAATTAACTATTATCTTCATTTCAGCACCCATTTTTACTTGTATTCATATATTTTAAAAACAATCCACCAATAATGCAGAGAAAAGGATGTGGTTCGACTTCAACATCACACAAACAACTTGACGCTAAGGTCATTTAATTATTATTAATCAAACGTTTATTGTTGTTGTTGTCTGTTGTTTCTTTATTTATTCTTTGACTCTTTTTTTAATTTTTTTTCCCTTTGAATTTTGTTCAGACATTGAGACGTTTGGCCCAAAACAGAGAAGCTGCGAGGAAGAGTCGACTCAGAAAAAAGGTATTTTAAAATTTTTTATTTTATTTATTTGCATTATTAATGAGATATAATATAACTGAGTAAAAATAGTGTAACGTTAAATAAATATGGTGATTTGGTTTGGAAAATTGATTTATAGGCGTACGTACAGCAACTTGAAAGTAGTAGAATTAAGCTTACGCAGCTTGAACAAGACCTTCAACGGGCACGATCTCAGGTTTTAAAATTTTTTCAACCTTTTGGATTTAAAATAGCTTCAAAGTTTTTGTTTTTTGTTTTTTGTTTTTGCTTTTTATTATTAATCAAATTACTAACAAAAATTGTTGGGTTTTATTTTTATAGGGTTTATTTCTGGGTGCTGCCGGTGCCAATCTCACCTCTGGTAAGCTTCGAAAAGGTGATCTATATGTACGGAAGTGTAATTGTTAAATATATATGTATATATATATAATATCTTCATTTTAGCCTTAACTAGAAGTTTTATGTTTGTTCTATTTTTAACCGGACAATGTATTTTATGCAAAATAATCGGTTCCTCATTTAKGGGGAGGACCGAATTTTGTTCTTGCCACTCTTGAAAAATTAATTACTTCTTATTTTTTAAAAATATTATATAGTTTGTGTTTCTCTTTCTTAATTTGTTAAACAACTAAATTAAACGAGGGTGAGGACAGAATGGATCTAAGTATGAAACGGATAACTAACAAATTATATATATATATATATATATTTAAGTTATCAATAAATTTTTAAAAAATAATCATTTTTTGTTCCTATTATTATTTTGCTTCAAAACCACGTTATCCAATTTAGAGAAGAAAAAAAAAACCCTCAATACATATTTGTTAAATATAAAATATGAATAAGGATCAAAATAATACTTTTAACTTCATGACTAGAAATTTTTTTGATTGAAATAGATTAAATGTTTAAAGAGTAAAATAAAATAAATTACTTTACAAACTAAAATAAGATTTAAAATTAAAATGTTAATATTTTGTTATTACTAATGGAGTTTTTGAAATATGGTAGGAGCTGCAATGTTTGACATGGAATATGCGAGATGGTTGGAAGACGACCACCGGAACACGGCGGAGCTGCGGGCGGCGTTGGACACGCATCTACCGGACGGCGATCTCAGAGTGATGGTAGACGCGTGCGTTTGCCATTACGACGAGATTTTCCGGCTGAAAGGAGAGGCTGCCAAGTCCGACGTCTTCCACCTCATCACCGGAATGTGGATGACTCCGGCTGAGCGCTGCTTTGTCTGGATCGGCGGCTACCGGCCGTCGGATCTTATGAAGGTTTGTTTTAATTAAATTTATCTTTCCCTAGCTTATCACCTCACTTATAAAATATTAAATTTAAGGTTAGAAAATATATTTGGTGTCTTTACTTTCGTTAAAAGTAACTATTAAAGTAACGATTTAGTTCATAAATTTTTAGTTGTAACAATTTAGTCCATACACTTTAATATATAACAATTTAATTCCTATCAAGAAAATTCTCTCCAAAATTAAACGTCAATTTTTATCGTATAGTGATTTAATTTTTGTAATTTATAAATAAATTTGATACTTCATCAATTTATCGATCTACATATATTACAAGTTTAACAAAAAAAAAAATCACAATGGAAGCTGAATCATTAAAGACTTTAATTTCAACAACTAAATTGTTACATTCTAAATTTGAATGACTAAATTGTTATCAAATTACGTAAAGTAAACTGAATCATTACTTTTAAAATCGTTATTTCAACTAAAGTAGAGACCAAATGTGTTATTTAACCTAAATTTGATAGCTTATTTTTTCAGAATTTCATTTTACAAAATGGACGGTTCAATCCTCCACCTGATCATGGTATGTTAAAATAATAATTAAATTGAGCCACGTGGAGGCAAGGGTCGTCCCCAACCTTCATTTTTTTTTTCACTTGTACAATAAATATAGAAATTACGGGAATTTGAACCCAGAAAAGTCATGTCTTCACACTTACTACAAGTTGGCTCTCTTTTTCTAATTCAAAGTATATACAATTTCTCCTTCATTTATTAATTTTTGTTTGAGTCTCTTCTTTAAATTTGATGTTTATATTTATATTAAAGATGGATAGAAATGGGAGTATTTTTTTTTCTTTTCAAAATGGTTTGAAGAAATTACTTAATTAATTGAGTTGAAGTTGGCTGTGATCAGATAAAATGAAGAATTAACCCGTAATTAGAATCTGAAATTGAAAGTGAGGAATTGAATTGAATATTCAGATGTTATTATCACAATTGGAGCCAATAACAGAACAACAATTGATGGAAATATATAAGCTGCAGCATTCGTCACAGCAGGCAGAAGATGCATTATCCCAAGGTCTGGATCAACTCCACCACTCTCTCATGGAGACCGTCGCCGGAGCTCCAGTCATCGACGGCATAAACCAGATGATATTGGCCATCCACAAGCTTTCCAATCTCCAAGGTTTCCTTCACCAGGTAATTACACATCTATTATAATTACCATTATATCCTTCCTTCCTACTCATTCTTAATTATTAATTAGCATTCACATCCATTCAAATTTATAGGAATAGAGCTCGTTAATTATATGAAAATACATAGTATCATCATCATAATCAAGCATTGAGACTTTCATTCCAAAGGTTCATGCAATGTAATGCTTAATTAATAGGTTCCCAATCAAAGTAAGTTTTGAATCGTTTTCAAACTTTCTTTCTACACCTGTATTTTAGAAAAATGTTTATATTGAAATTTTTTTAAATTTCTCTAATTAGAAAACGAATACTTCGAAAGTGTTTCAAATTAATTAAAAATATTCTTCATTATCTTAAAGTCACATGTTACACACATTACTTTCGAAACTAGAAATACAAATGAGGCATAGAGCTTTCAATTCTTCATGATTGAAAACTTTGATTTTCAACCATTTTGAAAATGGGTATGGTCTTTGTTTAATAATATGGTCATATGATTGAATTTTGAGGGGGGAAAAACAAGTCAAAAGCACATTAAAATTGTCAACCCGTTCACACTGACCAAACTTGAGGTTTTTCAGGCCGATATTCTGAGGCAACAAATACTTCATCAACTTCAAAAGATACTCACCATCCGACAAGCAGCGAGATGTTTTTGGGTCATTGGTGAATATAACAATAGATTACGAGGCTTGAGCTCTCTATGGTCCTCTCGTCCAAAGGAGCAAGATCAATAACTATATATCTCTTCTAAATTCACATTTTAAAACCTTTATTTGAATCATTGTATTTAGTTTGTCGGGTCTATGATCGACTTGTAAGAGTACTTGAGTAGTTGTGACATTAACAAACTCGTAGTTTGAAGTGGTAGTTAACTTCCCATTAACGACCCATTAGGATTGGTACGAGAAATTCCTCTCGGATCTAAATTCTCTCTTACCTGCAAGGAAAATAACTTTAGTTCTCCATTTAAGGTGACAATTAGGCAATTAGGCAATAATCCTTATGATTTAAAATAATACGATATAATAACATACGGGTACAGTTATATAATACGTAACCTCCCTTTGAAAGGCTACTAAAATTGCTAGCAAAATACGATTGTGCAACATTTGTTACATAATGATGAGTTAATTGATAGTTACTTATAACAACATAGGAACTCAACAAACCTACCTATCATATATAATCTCGACATAATCATGCAACTTACTTCACAATGATATAATATTGTTAAGTTATTGAACTTATACCGAAGGAAAAAAAAAAAAGAAACATTTACAAAATTGTGTACATATTTTGGAATAAAAAAGATTGGGGTTCTTTTTTTTTATTTATAAGTTTTTAAAATGGTTATTTATCATTTTTTTTCCGTATGAAATGCATGAATATTTGAACATTTTGTTTTTTTATAAATTTGTCCCTTTTTTTTTCAAGTAAAACGTTTATTTATTTATTTAGAAAATAAGAACTTAAACATAGGTGCTAAATACATAATTTTTTTTAATAAGAAGGAAATAATAATAACAAAATAAGAACAATTAAAAACATTTACCAAAACAGGTTTCTATATTTTAAAAGTTGAAAAAGGAAGAAGAAAACAAGAAATATTGATTAGAAAAAACGGAATCGATTTCAAGAGTACTGAAAGTGCGTTCGAATACACTCATTCCCATTTTCCCTTCCAACCGTTGGATTACCAGAAAGGCATGACATGGGCCCAATGGCCCAAGCCCAACTAACCTCCCCTAATCTATCTTTCATTAATTTAAATTATTAGTGTGTTGATTTTTAATTATAATTAATTATGCTCCAGATAAGCTAATGTTTTTAGTCCAAGTTAACTATAATGTGGGCATTGGCCTAAAAAGAATGTTAATTGACAGTAACAATATCTTAATTAGTTTGGCTATATTATTGACTTAATAAGTTTGCTAGACTTAGATTGGTCGTTAATTTTTTTTAATTTTATTATTCTATCAAATAAAATAGAGAAAATATGGAATTAAATACGAAAAAATTAATTAATTAATCATTTGTGTCTTGTTGATATAATTAATTAATCATTTATATAATTAATCCCAACACACACTTCAAGGCCTAAGTCAGACTCAGACAAATGGTGTTTAGTTGAAATTAGCAAAAAGTCGAATGAATTTGAGTGGACTGTAAAATTGGAAAAGTTAATAGAAATTTGTTCACGAGTAGATTGGTTGATAATGGGGAATCCGCTTTTTGTCCTTAAATAATAATAACGTTGTCAAAAAGTTGCTGAAGTCCACGTGGAGCTGAGATGTAAGTCCCATGGGCCGTTTCATTCCAATATATTTTATGTTATTTTAGCTTCTAAATTTTTTATATATAGGTTCAAAATGTCTATTTTAATGTATAAATTTTAAAAAAMAATTATTTTAATGTGTATATATAGCTTCTAATACATGCCTACACGTAAATAAGTTAGTAAAACATTCCAGTACTAAAATAAACGTTTTCAAAATTTAATGATCAAAATGAATATTTAAAATTTTCTATAAAAAAAATGAATATTTAAAAGTTTTATGGACAAAAATGAAATAATTTGAAAATGTTAAAATGAAGAGGGAAAAAAAAAAGAGAAATAAGGGGGCTAAAAATGTGTACATATGGGTAGCTAGTTTGAAAATTAGGGTTTCTATGTAAAAAGAATCTCTCTCTAGCAATCATGTTTTCCCCTCGTGAGGTTTGGAGTAGAGAATCTAATGCACTTTTGCGCTGCATTAGATTTTGGATCGAATCTACTCATATAATTGTGTAATGTTTAAAAAGGAAAAAAAAAGTCTTAGTTGAAGTATAATTATTATTATTATATATATATTTTTTGTATTTTGTGACTTAAGCGACAGATCTTTATAACCTTAACTTAGTCTAAAAAGTGAGGATCAGATATTCGAACTCGTAACCCATTAGTTAGAGGATTACGAGGAAGGAGAGGTTTGGAACCTTTCCCCTATTTCTGCATTTCATTCTCTATTCAGYCCGCCTCAAACAAAATGAGAAAAAAGGAGAGGCCAGTTGTGGTGTAATTTATGTTTGAATGAATTTGCACTACAACAATTGTTACCTTCAATGTCAGCTAGTCATTTATAAACAATGTCGGTTGACTAAATGATGTAGGTTTTATAGTGAGGCGCCTTATTTTTCGAAAATGTCATATTCGATGTCGGTTAAGAACCGATATTAATACATGCCAATTAATGTCAGTTAAAAAACGTCATGGTAATACAAGAGAAATAGGCACGCACGATTCATTTTAATATAATGTAATTTGGCTACATGCGCAAAAGCTGAAGTTAATATAAAATAATGAAATAATAAGATAAAGAAGAGAACACTCCACTGCAATTAACAAAAAAAGAAAAAAAAAACTCATGCAAAAGTAGTTTTCAATGATCAATAGTCACAAAACCATAAACCAAAMAATAAACCTAGCCGCTAGTCTTTATTCCCCACTATCAATACATAGGTTCTAGTTTTTCTCACATCGAATGTCACGTGWTCTCGTAGGTTTCTTAGATCAATCCATTAAGATTTGAGTTACGCCCATGTATTTGACATATGCGGTAAGTTAGAGTAAATTTATTCAACGAATATAAGATTCAACATATCACGTGAACCATTGACCGAAATCGAAAAATATAGACATAGATGATGGTAAAGAGACGCAAAATGACATCACATTTATAGCACAAGATAGGAGTGTTGGTTTTGGTACTTTAATTTGATTGAAGATGCTTTTAACCCCTGGCTACTACCCCTAGTGCCACTCTGTCATTGTTCTTAATTTTCCCCCAAAGAAAGCATAAAAAATTGAATTTTCAGTGACCTGAAAATGCTTCCAATACTGAAACTTTGAGAATCATTCAAAGGGGGGGCCATATTTGGAACAACCCCTCACATTGGCTGTTTCAGAATTCAAAACCTGTCTCATCCATTACTTTCATTTTTCCCTCTCTCTTTTCTTTAATGAATTTCAGAATCCCTAATCATATTATTCCACTCAATAATTCCCAATGGGAAGAATTGTTTAACTAATTAATTAGTACAATTATGAGATTATTGGTTAATTAGTTTTAATTTAGTGAGAAGAATCATAAACTTTYTTTTTCCTTTCTTTTTTTGGGCCAATGGGTTGAGATATGGATCAAGCAACATAGGTGTGAGGGAATTTTATGCCAATCTTTTGCATCTTAAGAAATTGAAGCCTTTTAATTTGCTTTATTTTTATTTTCCCCTCTACTTTACTTGAAAGCTATCAAAATATATTCTTATCAAAATTTATAAGACTTTCCTATCAAATATACATTTGTTTGAGCTAGAACGAGCATATCTTAGTAGTAATTGGCATATATCTCCAACAAAGAAGTTGTAAGTTCGATCTCTACCTCACATATTATACTAAAAGTAAAAAGAGTGAAAAATCTATGCAGTTTGATATGCTGCTTGGTGAAATCCTCCCTATTTTTTCGTTTGTAGAATGCTTTCTTTCTCCATTCGTATACCTTAACCTCTGTAAAGTTTTTTATCTTTTTGTTCATAGAGTGATGAAAATCATTTGTTGACCCTAACTTATATATATATGTCGAAGATCTTTCTATTCTCTAGACAATGTAGAATTTTGATCACATCCCCAAAAATCCTCACCTCGATCAAAAAAGACCATGGGTGGAACTTTGATTGCAAATATAAAAGATACACGCATTATATATATATATATATATATATATATATATATATATAGTTTTAAGGGTAGCATATCACATCATGAATGACAATATTGGAGTAAAAAAGCAATAAGCAGCTGATGATGTATGTGGACACAATGGGGTTGTGARAGGGGAGGCAAAGATACGGTAAAATGTAGACCAAATCAATTCCCAAGATCTGTTTGGTTGGCGCAGAAACATTGGTTTTCACTTTTCAAATTAACCAACAAAAACAAAAAACACAAAGAAAAGACCACTTTCAATTATTGTCTTATCGTGATCAATTTCAATGTACCATTTGGAAGTTCTGAAATTGCACGTGCCCCTTTTTCAGACATGAGCCACTCAAGTTTCTCCTGCTCAAAGTATGTTTTTTTTTTCATCTCCCAAAAACACAGGTTTGAATCCAACATAAGTAGCAACTACAGAACTGCAGTTAAAAATTGCCACTTTTTCTGTTCTTTTCTCTGCTTTTTCCCACACCCAAGAGGAAAAAGAAAAAAGAAAAAAGTTTAGAGACTGGAGAGTAAATTTGATATAAAATCAAAGATTTGTCATTTGACAGTGGGTGTTAGTTTTGTGGGTGGTGGGGGAGATAGGGCCTATAGCTTTAGAAACACAGCATCTTTTCCTTTTCCTTTACAAACATAATTAGTGATAATATTAACTTAGGATATTTGGTTCCTACAACTACAAGACATGTTCTAATTTCTCCGGGTTTTGTCTGCAGTCAGATCAAGTGCCTAATTAAAACCGACCCGACCCAAAAATGTTTGTTTAGGTCCGAGCCAGGTCACGGTTTCTTTTCTATTTTTTTTGCTAGTTAAGCTATATATCTAAAGCTGCCGCTGCTCGGTTTTTTTTTTCCTCTCCTTTTCTCGCGAAAGCTACAGAACCCACGAACTGAGGTCGTCTTCACCGCCTTTGCTGCCACATTCCGTTGTATTCGTCGAAGGTAGGGTAAAACTAAGAACCTCGGTTCGATTTAGACCCGAACCAATCCGATTAGTATTAGAACCGGCCCGAACTAAGAATTTCTCTTTTTCAGGTCGGTTTGGTTCTTTGCACCCGGATTAGCAGTCATATGTTCTAGTATTGGGAGTAAAAGCTACAAACTTTTTTTTTTTTCAGCTGGGATATTCGTGAGTGTTGTTTAATTTCAAGGTTATATACGAAATTTTAAAGCTGTAAGTTGGAAATTAACCTTTGTTTTTTAGATGTGAGTGACCGGATTTCTTTATGATTTGAGTCGAAAAATGTATTATAACTTTAGATTGAAAATTGAAAAATGAGATGGATGATACCACACAACTGTTCAAGGTTTTTCTCTTTTTCTTTGTTTGGATATTAATTATTTTGTGATTCTTCTCGAAAAAATAGATCCCACMTGAATGAGACAAAGGACTTAAAAAGAGTTTATTAATAACATGTCTAATCTTTTTATTGCCAATTAATTTTGGAATATCAATAGAATCCTACATGAATATTAATATAGTATTAAAGTCCAAAACGAGTCAAACGAACATCSGATCAGAAAATGAAATCCGACCAAGATTGATGAGCCAAATTGAGATAAAACCCCTTATTTCTTGTCAAAATATAATTTTATGTTTTASTCCACCAAATATTCAATAGTTATAAAAAATACAACTAAGATAAATCACATAACAAAAGTTCAAACACATGACATATTTACTGCGTTACCACACTAAACTCAAAAACTTTTATCAATACTTACGATTAAAGCTGGACACTTTTTTACTTTATTTGAGTCTGTGATTTGGTCATTAAATTTCACCACCAACCCAATATCTCTCTTGAGTTTTTCCTGATAGGAGTTCACACTTCAAGGTGACCGAAAGATGTAAAGAAAAAAAGTTACAGACACAAACCATAAAATGACAGTGGAAAAGAAAGCAACTGCAACGGCTAAGTACAAACTAAACCACTGAAGACCTCTGCTGCCCTTTAATTTCCATGCAAATTTACATAAAACTTTATTCCATTATCAGAAATCATAATATTTACTCCAAGTTTTGAATTCGAGGAATTCTGTTTAATTAGTTTCATCTTCTTCGGGCGGCGGTGGCCCTTTGGGCATTGAAATAGACAGCAGCCACTGGAAGGCCAAGATCGTTGTCTTGTGCAAATTTTCTTGCATTGAAACCATCCCTTGAATTTGCAGGAAGGTCCTTCACTGTTTGCCTTCGTTTTTGCTTGAAGAGAAGGAACACGAATCTGTGGATCCCTATGTTTGGACTTGGAACTTCATATTTCACTACTTCTTTTCCTATTTCAAATACTATGATTAAATTCATGCAAATGGAAGTGAAGCTATCAAGAGAAAACCAAAATGGAGCTTACCAAAACTGGAATCTGTTGTGCCTGGGATGTCTGTAACTATCCTGAAATCAAAGTTTAATTATATCCCAGTTTTATTGCTTATACATATATATACACATGGAAATAACTTGTAATAAAATATATAGTTGGTTAAGATATTAATAACATTTTTACGAGTCAAAAATTCAAACCGATCGACCCCGACATTGTTTAATGGGTTGGGTTCGTTTTATAGCTTATATACCCAAGTAAAAATTATGATAAAACATTGATTGACCATAACGTTTTTGTGTTTCATTTTCGGTTTCTAAAAATTAAATTTCGTATTTACATCTCTTTCTGAATGAGAGTTTAAAGAAGATGATACCAGTGAAGATGTTCTCGCAAGTAAGGATCACTTGGACCGGGAACATCTGGATCAGTCATGACCTACCAAATTTATTAGTTGAAAATTATGGGGCAAGAATTAATGACATATATAGAGAGATGAAAAAAATGAGAGGATGGATAATTTAATAGGATCGTACCAGTGTGAAGAAGGATCTAAGGTCACCTCCAAGAACCTCAACCTTAGGTTTAAGGGTTACAAAAGTTGGGAGAAGCTCATGGCCATTGCAGACCTTCTTGTTTGAATGGTAAGTGACAGTCATCTTCACCGTCGGGGAGAAGGCGTCGACAACGTCTCCGATCACTCTCCCGACGACAAGAGGGTCCGACATACTTGCAGCCATATATTTTATACAGAGAGAGAAAATTAAAGGAGAAAAAAAAGATAGAGAGATTTCAAAAGGTTGGCCTTGAGAGAGTGAGTTTGTTTTGTGTATGGCTTTTTTCTATGAAGTGAGGGAGTATTTATAATGGTGTGTTGAGAAGAGATTTGGGAAAAAAAAAACCTTAATTAATTATTTATTTATTTTTGTGAACATTTCATCTAGTGACAAATGGCAAAATGATATGACATGAAATCTTACTTGTTGAAGTCTGCTCTCACAAATACCCATTTTGATATAAACCCATTATTCAACTCAAAGTGCTCATCAAAAGAAAAGGGGTTTCTCTATACTTTCAAACCTCCAAATTTAATCTTCATAATTTTGATAAATTTTAAAATTAGTCACCTTTAAATAATAATATTCATTTAAGAAAATGTGCACAAAATAAATATGTTTTCCAAATCTCTGGAAGAAAGCTTATAAAAACTAAATTTTATTTAAAAAAATTAACCCTAAATCAATTTTAAATATAGTATACTAGAATCAAAATAGTATTTTAACCCATATATGTATAGGTATATATTGTGAGGGAAGGATAAAATGGCAAATATATTATAAATAAGAATAAAACAAATAGTAGTGGTAATGGAAATGGTGCATTTGGGGGCAAAGATGATATTCTTTTTCATTTCCAAAATTGGTAATTTCGGAGAGTGGAATTTGTCATATTTGGTAGAATTAATCACAGCCATATGCAACCAGTGCATATTCATATGGGATATATTTGTTTATAATTGGAATCACTTCAATAATTTCAATGATTAAGCATCTTTTCTTTCCTTCTTTATAACCTCTTGTTTAATCCATTCCACATAACCTCATATTCTATATTTATTTATTTTGCATATCATGGCTATCCCTATAACCAAAGCCTAAAACCACCTCTATCTCTCCCTCATTTTGATTCTAATTATATATGAAATTTACATGATTAATTAAATAACAAAAACTTTGATTAGTTGAATGATGGAGCAATAATTCTATGGGGGCAAAAATACAACTTTATATAATTATATTTATGGGATATATAGCTTACTTTTTGAGATAGTATGATATATAGCCATAGGGGTATGGTGGTTTCAAAATTCATTATTTATTGCCACGAAAATTATTTTAAAAAAAAACCGTAAAAATACTTCTTATCATATATGATTTTCGATTGAGTTGAAAATTTGTTGGAACGAAAATACATAGCCAAAGATCTTTATGGTATACAAGTCAAGAAAATCATGAACACTAATAAAACTATTTTGTTTTAAGATAACTAATTAACTGTAAAAAACGAATTAATTGTATTAAATAAATTGAGTTAAAAAAAATTATTGAATAAAGCGAGTTGATTTTTATTTTATTTAAAGGCCTATAATATTTCAAAAGTCTATACTTATATTACTAAAATAGTATAGTTTTTCTTAGATATAATTTGTTGTATGTATAAAAGGTAATAATTGTCACAAAATATTTATATGTTCAGGGGTTATTTTATATCATGTGCAACTAAAATTTATATTTCTATGAGGAGTTTTATGTTATTTGTATAAAATCTTTTATACTGTTTTTAAAAATACACATTCATATTTTATGCTATTTGTATTTTGTGTAAATAGCTAAAAAAAATCATGATCTTTATTTGGGCCTTCGACAAGAAGCTCGACCCGGCCCATTATAGTGTGAGCAAAGGCCCCGTTGGAGCCCAAACTTACAGAAATTAGCAGTCGAATAAAAAATTTTGTCAATATAATTTTAAACGTAAACAGATTTTAATTTCTTGTACCACCGAACTATAATTTGCAAAGTCGATCATTTTCTTTTACTGAATTTTGTATGTTTATTTTTTTTAATTATATATCACAACGTTGTTTTTTTTTAATCCTTTGGCTGATCCAATATCGGAATGAAGACTAATAATAATAATCTTCCAAAAAAGGAAAAAAAAAACAATACTTAGGTATAATAACAATAATTTCAAATAAAAACAAACCACAATTAAATTTAAATTAAAATAATAAAATGTATTTTCATTCGATTGTTCCATTTTCAATATCAATAAGATCATGTAGATTTTGGAACACGCGTAGGTCGAAGGTCACTTATTTAGTTGAATTTATAATTAAAAAAAGGCAATACTAGGAAAATAAACAATAATAAACAAAGAATAAAACTAAGACATGTCCACATAAATTTCTTCAAAATGTATTAACTTTTTAAAAGCAAAATATATTTACTCCCACTCAACAATGGCGAGGCAAATACAATAATATCCAACTTCAAAATTGAATAATTGGTATATATCTCCAGGTTGTAAGTTCGATTCTCATCTCAAATAAAAAACCTATAATTCATAGTATGAATCGTCATGCTTTTTTAATATATCACACAACATTTTGAGTTAGCTTTCGAGATTACGAAATTTAAAAAGTAAAGAAAATAGAGAGAAATAAATGTAGGAAAAACAAAATATGGAACTTAAAATTGTTGGTGAAATAATGGTGGGATAACTCATTTTTATAATGGTAGAGAATAGAAAAGGTTATACAACGAGTTTAAAATTCCAACACATTTAAAAATCTATCATTAATTAAGATTAAAGATAAAATATTTTAGTTTTTGAAAATAAAAAGTAAAAAGTTTTCATACTTTAGATTTCATACATTTAATAATTTAAAAGTGCATTTAAATTTTCATTTATTTGGAACTAAATTTCCACCCATTGTATTAATAACATTATACTTTATACTTTATTGTAGTAGAATTTTGCAATAAATAATTAACCTATTTACATAACTTTATTAAATTTAATAAAAAAAAAACTTCACTTTTTGTGAATTTGACATAAAATTCTATGCCCCAAAATAACTTTTAAAGCAATATGGTACTGTAAAATTTACGCATACTAAAATTATAAATTCTTTTAAAAGATTTTCAAACTCTTGATATTCTTAAATTAAATATAATATAATTAAAGATACTAATTATTGAATTAATTTAGATATATAAACTTTTTCTATTCTAACTTTTTAAATTACATTTTTATGATTTAATCTCAGCTTTTGGTCTTAATCTATTCAAATTTGTCCTCTCTCTGTTTTCAACGAACTACTAAATCCTTTTGAGTTTTTTTTTT